GTAGCGTGATATCGTGACAGGCATTGGTTTAACTGACATGCCACTAAGTCAAAATGCCAATGATATTCTGCATATACTAGCAAGTACTAGTTTTCTGAAAAGCTGAATATATCTATGTATTTAGGTATTTAAATACAGAGGTAGTAAATTAAATAAGGAACATTTATTTGTGTCCAAAAGCCACAGCTTGGGACGCTGTTGTGCAATTTATACTAGATTGATTTTTGCACTTTGGAAGTGCAGAGTTCGAATGCCAGTGAGGCGTTCCTTATTATTAGCATATTATTTCTTTGAGGAATGAATTCACCCATGTCTTGCCCTCTCATGTTTCGGTGCAACCATCCTTGAAACTTGTAGCCGTTAACTTATTAACAGTGATGCTAGCCTGCCGTTCTGGCTTTCTGGAAAGTGAACAACTTATGATAATATTTTCTCTTGGATACACGTTGCGGCTGTTATTCCCTTTGACTCAATTAAAGCGTCTAAATCAAGATATTGTGTAAATGGTAAACAAAAACGCCTTAAAACTACCGGTCTGACTGTTGATTTCTAACTACATCCTCTTCCGCTTAGGCTCGAGTACTAAAAGGGCAAAAAACAATACGATTAAACTACGCCACCTGTAAAACTTACAACGCTGATTTTGACGGTGATGAAATGAATCTTCATTTCCCGCAAAATGAAGTTGCTCGTGCGGAAGAAATTGAAATCGGTAAGTTTCGACTTCGATATATCTGACAGCGTGTGGCTGGTACAATGTTTTTGTTTGTTTAATGTTATGTATGTTTACAGAAGATAAAAACGTTGTTCAGTTGGAAAAGGAAAAAGACGTAAACAGGCTCTTGATAAATTAATTGACAGTTAAAAGGTGGAAAAAATATATTTAATGGATAATGCTTTCAAAGCAACGAAAACATGTGAAAGAAACGGTAGGTATAAAAGGTGAAAAGGATGAAAAAGTAGGAGATAAATCAAAATGTCAAAAAATAAATTGTACAAGATTAGATGGAAAAAATTAAATTGTTGAGAATGTGATTGCAATTATGTGAAATATTTGAGGCTTAGTCCGTAGTTTTCGCAGGCTGCACGTAATGTTTTAATATCCGCGAATTTGCGTATCATGGGACCTGCAATTGTCCAAAATCTTCAGAGTCCTGATCTAACTACGGTAGCGACTGTCAGGTTCATGTTTCACGAGTAACTCTCTGTGTATGTCTTTGTAGCCCCTATTTTGACTGTAAACAGATTAATGTTGATGATACATGTGAAATGGTATTTGCTGCCTTCAATGGCTCTTATTCCGATGATGGTGGAAATTCTTTTGTTTCAGTAGGTCTGTCAAGTGAAATTTTTTTCCGCTATTGACGCTTCTAACCATTCAGTCAGAATATTGCTCGCGCATAATATGTTCCGAACTACTTGTGTAGTAATATATCTCGTATAGATAAGATAGTAATGTATGAATCGCTCCTTGTCCGCAAGACAAAAGGATTTTTTCCGTCATGCGCATTTAACTCTGAAAACAGCGTTGGCCCGTTGGAGTTCACTTATTTTTCATCCTTCTTGGGTGTTTGAGTTAAGTACCAAAAGCTTGAGAAGAAAACTGTTTTAGATGTTGACCTAAAAAATAAGCAGATTGCTCCTCTTGTTCAGCCGAAGTTGAGGTCAACATCTCACCTTTGCCCATCAAACAAAAATTATAACAACATGGCGCTCATTATTGGAGGTTTAAAGAAGATCGACATCCCTCACCGGATGCTAACTTTATATTCCTCTTTCTTTTCCTACAGTCCAATGGCCAGGTTATGTGTTGGAACCTCTTGTAAAATCTCGCTTTGGAATCCAGTCTAAAAAGCCTGGCCTAATGGAACACTGCACAGGTAACTAGAAAAGCTCTCTTAAAACGCTGCTATCCATACATTCCTAAAAAATACAAGTCTATCGAGACAAAGATTATGATTTTCTGATAATTGTGAAGTTAGGGCTTGATCAAACTCTCATCCATATGATTTTGCAACATTTATCTCTGCGCTCGTTTGACGTGGTATCACTAACCCTTTTCAAATAACTGCTCCTTGCAATGTGATTTGGCGCATTTGTTTCTTAGCCTGTGTGCCCAATCAGTATCTGGTTCCAAAAGATGGCACACCGATCAGTGGTCTGATTCAAGACCATGTCGTGTCTGGGTTTTTGCTGACGTTGCCTGATACGTTTCTGTCGAAGTATGTTCAATTGCGTTATGAAACTCTGACAGCATTTGTTTGGCTGTTTGTAGAGAGGATTATCAGTACCTGGTTCTAAGCGCCTTCGCTCTATGCAGTAAGAAGTTACGCATTCTTCCTCCGGCGATAATGAAGCCTGTTCGAAGATGGACCGGCAAACAGGTAACAATGTTCGAGTAGTTGCACGCGGAAGTACTCTCTGCGACATGTTCGTTTTAGGTGATTAGCACCGTCCTCATCAACGTGTTGCCTAAAGACTGTCCGCTACTGAACATGAAAGGTGCAGCGAAGGTTTCGCTTCAGGTTCGTTGACCTTCTATGATTTATTGTTTATTTTCTATTTCGTTTAGCTACAGTTTTAGCTCATGAGATACTGACGATTCTGAAACATCTTTTACTAATGCGAGAAAAGTATCGCTTGAGTTTTGGTTTAGCATGAATATTTTAAATTGCACTTCGTTCACTAAAATTATCATTGAGACAAATCTGTCGTAATGACTGTTCATTATTTCCCATAGAAAATATTTTGCTTAATCGTTTTAATACTCTTATATTTAGCAGCTATCCTAATCTACTCGCTTTTCCTGACTTCAGGTCGGTCGCTAACACTCAAGGCTGTTTGAAAAACCAGCGACGGGCATTCCAAACCCATTGCCTCAGGGATCATCAGTCTTCTTTTGTTGGGCTGTCTGTTGTTCTTTCAGTAGAGCGTTGGACTCAGAACCGAGATGTCCCAGGTTCGAGTGCCGGTCGGTTCATTCGCCTGTCTTTTGAGGTTGTCAAATAGGTGCCACTATGTGGGAAGGATACGCGAGATTACACTTTATGCTATGCGGCACTTTCGATTTCGACCTGACAAGACTTCTATCCATTAGATTTCTGTTTCCACAGATATTTGCGAATCAAAACACACATCAGCACAAACACCCAGTGGCTGTACCATTTATTTCCCCTCATTATGAAACATTGAAACTGTGGAGCGTATGAGATTGCTCTTTACAGACGTTCATGCCACGGTGATGACTGATTATGGTAATGTGTAACATGATGTTGTTGTTTTCGTAACGATGACAGAAGGATCCTGGTGTACCTCATAACACTCATACTGCTTATTATTGCGATTATCATCCTGATTATTATCATTTGACGACCACTCTTCATGAGCATCGTTATTATAATCGAGATTATCTTCGTAATCATAAGCACTCGTATTGTTATCATTGTTACAGTAATTGTGGTCATCAGATCACTGTCATAACCATGATCATAGTTTATTTCATCGCGAACATCGTTAGCATAATTATGGCCACAACCGTTTGACCATGATATCGATTATAATGATTGCCACAATGGGAATCATTGCTGTCTTCATCACTGTGATCATGAGAATTCTGATTATTCTTGTTAGTCTTTTTCTTTTATCTCATTTTTCTGATTATTTCGATGATAGTAACATATATGTTGATGGTTTTGCATGGTAGGATACTTACAACGATTCTTTTCTGTGGGACATTTGCGAGGGAATCTTTCGATTTCTTGATTGATAGTTGCACCAAATTGTCGTTAGTAAGTAAGTAATCGCAACAAAGAAATTTCACTGCCACCTTAAATTTTCGTTTCATACAGTTTCTCATTCGTGTTTCAGTACGGAATTGCGTATTTGTGTTTTAAGGTTTTTGCTTCTCTCGTAGGTGCCAGTTGATAGACCCCCTGTTACGGAACAAATCGGTCTCCACGATCGCAAATAGATGGCGTGTTTGACCGTTATTTTGTTTTTTGCGTGATTAATCTATTTTTTCATACTTTTTTTGTTACCCTTTGCTAGGTACAAGTATAGCTTTTTTAAGCAGAAGATGAAATAAGTTATCATCATGGTATCGCATTCTTGTTGGTAGACTGTTCACAGTACGTGCACTATTTT